ATTCTGCTGAAAGGTTCTTGCTCCATAATTGAATACATGCAGGATAATAAAAGTACCTAGGCTAAGTCCTTCACCCTAGATGTGGAAGTGTTGATTCTATGATTCTAATAGATTCCAGGTGGATTGCTGAGCTCTTTGAGTGTTAAACATTAATGATGCCAATACTCGGGTAGTTCTTCACTGAGAGAGCTTAGCTGTTTGCACTCTTAAGACAGATTTTTATCTTTAATGTGACTTTTCATAATGTAGTAAAACCTGTGAAAACTGGAACTGGTGTAAGGCAAAAACCTGTAAGAGAAAGAAAATGCAACTAGTTTCCGCTAAAACAAGCAATAGAAAACTGGTAAGACTCACCTTGTCAAAGGCGGAAAATTTCTAAGACCCAGAAAAACAAGGTGGTCTTGATGAGTTCTGGCTCTCAATATGTTTCAGTGTATCATCCACAAGATTTCTTCTGTCCTTTCTGCTAGAAGTAGTGTAAATATTGTGCACACCACCCCACATCAGCCTGAGGTTTCTTCCTCTGGGAGACTTCTGGGAGTTGTGCAGTTAGTCCTCTCTTGTTATTCGACTTGTTATCAGAGAGATGGGGACCTTGCTGATTTTAGCATACATGCTAGGTACTCTTCCTCCACCCTTGTGCTCCTTTTGCTCTGAGGGCTCTCTAGAACTGGGTCCTGTAGGTTCTTCTGTTCATTACTGGATGAGGTGCAGTAATTTTGCTTACATTAATTAATGGTCTCAGAATTCCATCAGGCTTATAGTGGATTATTGAGGGAAGATCTTTTGTTGGTGTTGTATGGACATAATATGGGCAGTTTTCACACCTTCACCTGATGGTGGGATTGCAGTGGTGCCTCCTGCAGAGGACTGGTGGCAATGTATACAGCTGATATTTGTGCACTCACTGTCTTGTATATATTGATGTCTTCTTAGCTGTGGCATGAAAATAATAGATTTAGGGCACTCTGCTGTCAGTTTTTTTAAGTGCTAAATGCATTCTCTCATTACATTAGCTGGGAGCTCTCATGGCGTAGCGCCTAAGGCATTTGACTGCTAACCAGAAGGTTGGCAGTTCAAACCCACCAGCCACTCCTTGGCAGGAAGGTTGGGCAATCTACTTCCATAGTGATAGCGTCTCGGAAACCCAAGGAAGAGTCACTGTGAGTTGGATCCGATTCGATGGCAGTGAGTTTTTAGTTTTACCAGAACTCATCTGCTGGCATATTCAGAATCAGTCACTAATAGACTTGGAGTCATCAGTTAAATTTTGTCTCAGTAGAGGGTCCTGTTGTTTCCCATGTGTGCTAATTCTGAGGCTTTGTTACTACTTTTAGTGCTGCTGAGAAAAGAGATCAGACCAGATACCGTAATAAAGTACTATTCTTTCTTCAGGAATATTGAAAACTTTTATATCTAAAATCCACAGATTTGAGACATATTGTACTTCAATGATCAGTATATATTGAGTGGTCACCCTGTGTCCAGTCCATTTCTGGGCACTGTGGATCTGAGAGGCATCCTGACTTGTGTCCTTACCTTAAAGTCCTCCTCACCTAAGCCGTCTGTGGTGGTAAGGGGAGGCTGTCAGACATGGCTGGGACTCACCTGGGACTCCTGTGTGGCTCAGTGCCTTTGCAAGAACCTGGTGGCATGGTAGTTAAAGCGCTCAACTGCTAACCAAATAGTTGGTGGTTTGAACCCATCAGCCATTCCATGGGGGGAAGATATGGCAGTGTGTTCCTGTAAAGATTACAGCCTTAGAATTGCTAGGGAGTAGTTCTACTTGGTCCCTTAGGATTGCTATGAGTTAGAATCCATTTGACTGATGTCAGTGGGTTTGGTTTGGATTTGGTGGCCACTGCATGATGAGACATTTAGAAGCAGAACAGAAAGCAGTGGGTATAAGGCTGACTGGGCCCCACTTAGTAGGTGATAGAAGCTTAGGTTCCAGTGAGGAACTCGTTTAAAACCATATCACTATCATGCTTACAAAAATGTATTTGTACCAAAGGCTACAGTTAAGCAGTTACTAAAGCATAAACCAAATATTGTATCTGCTTTCATTGTGTAGTAGTGGTCTTTTATGAATAAGTACTTTTGTTATGGCCACAGATGAAAGAAACATTGGCTGTATTTTCAGTGATCCTAGGTCTAAAGCCTCCATGTGCTTCAATAAGGAAATACTGTGGCAAAGTGTATGGGTCAGATGCCTCTGACCTTGCATGAAAGAGAAGTGGGAGTACCCGCTCCTCCATTTCCCAAGTGAAGAAAGCTCTCTTGAGTCCTTAGTTTCTCTCGGGGCACCTGGGCTATAAGACAGAAAGATACCCACTGATTGTACAGTCTTTAACACTTGATTGTACACTAAGATATGCCCTTGTTTAGTAGGGGTGCGCAACTGTCCTTTAAGGGGTTATTGGAGCTCTGCCGGGAGGAAAGAATCAAATGTTGGTCCCTGTATATTTCCCCCTACAGTTTTTGTCTGCAGATCAGGACCTTACAGGTTCTTGGTAGCTCCTGTTAAAGACTGGGTCCAGTGAGTAGAGTACCAGGGTTCTGCATGTTTGTCCCCTTGGCTCCCCAACCTGAAGCATTCTCCTTGCAGCTCCTTGATTCAGTAGCAGCCTCATCCTGCACATTGTTCTCTCCACAAAGCCTGATCGAAGCCTCCAAATGCATCTTGATCTTCTGTAACTCTAGCCAGTCTTGTCACTTAGGGTATTTTGTTTTGAAACCAACTTCATTTCTCCTGTTAACAGAAAATCATGGCCATAACATGTGTATGCTATTCTTCAACTTGCTTCTTTAACCTAACGCTAAAATGTGAACTTTTTTCTGTGTTAGTAAGCTTACTTCTTCAACATCTTTTCAGTGACTGCATAGTAGTCCATTACATGGGATCTGTTATATGTTTATCTGATTTCCTTTTATTGAACAGCTAGGTCATTTCTGATTTTTTTGTATTGTTAATAACACTCTGGTGCACATTTCCTCAGGAATAATTTACAGAAGTAGGATTACTAGCTCAAAGCACTATCTGGGGGCTCTTTGATAACCATAACCTATATGCTTTGAATATCCCCTAACAGAAATTAGGGGCCAGAAAGACTGTCCACAAACTGTGTGTGTGTGTGTGTGTGTGTGTGAGAGAGAGAGAGAGAGAGAGAGAGAAATTTGGGTAAACGTTTCCAGAGCAAATTCATTTTTCATGCAGCAGTTCACATACATTTTGTTTCATGACACTGACTGCAGTTTCCATAAAGTAATAGCTCTCTTCCTACTTCCTTCCTCTGGTTACCCTTTCCCTGTGTCTTTCTTTCCTATGTGTTACTGCCTTCTGAGCTGTCTCCTTGTGCAAATACTGCCCTTCTGGTTTCCTGTGGTTGATTGTTCCAAGGAGTGTCCCTGCCTGTTATAAATGTTCACCTTATATGCTTGTCTATTGTTTCACTGGAGATCACGAGAGTGAGTTCAATTCCAGGTCCTAAGAGTCACCAGGGGCCGTAGCCTCAGAGGTTTCACCAGTCTCTGTCAGACCAGTAAGCCTGGTCTTTTTTTATGATTTTGAGTTTTGTTCCACATTTTTCTCCCACTTAATCCAGAATCTCCTATTTTGATCCCTTTCCAAGTGGTTGACAGTGGTAGCTGGGCACCATCTAGTTCTTCTGGTCTCAGGGTCATGTAGGCTGAGGTTCTCATAGTCTACTTGTCCCTTAGACTAATTGTTTCCATGTGTCTTTGGTCTTCTTCATTCTTCTTTGCTCTGGAGGAGGAGTTATCAGTTGTTTTGTTTTTTAATTTTTACTGTGATTTGGGTGAAAGTTTACAGAGCAAATTCATTTTCTATACAGTAGTTCATACACATTTTGTTTCATGGCATTAACTGCAATTCCCCACAGTGTAGCAGCTCTCTTTCCACTTCCTCCCTGTAGTTACCTCTTCTCTTGTGTCCTTCTTTCCTTTGCATTCCTGCCACTTGAGCTATCTCCCTGTGCAAATACTCCCTTTCTATTCTCCCAGGAGTGATCGCTCCAAGGAGAATATCTACCTAATGTAAATGTTCACCCTATATGCCTGTCTTTTGTTTGGCTGGAAGCCACCGGAGTGAGTTCAGTTCCAGACCTGAATAGTAACTAGGGGACGTAGTCTCAGGGGTCTGACCAGGCTCTGTCAGACCATTAAACCTGGTCTTTGTTTTTTTTATGATTTTGAGTTTTGTTCCACATTGGTACCCCACTCTATCCAGGATCTCCTGTACTGATCCTTTTCCAAGTGATTGACACTGGTAGCTGGGCATCATCTAGTTCTTCTGGTCTCATGGTGGTACATGCCAAGGTTCACATGTTCCACTAGTCCCTTTGAATAATTCTTTCCATGTGTCTTTGGTTTTCTTCATTCTTTTTTGCTCTGGATGAGGAGAGACCAATTGTTGCATCTTAGATAGCCACTTGCAAGCTTTTAAGACCCTAGTCACTGCTTACCAAAGTAAGATGTAGAACAATGTTTTTGTCCACAAATTTAAGCCTTCTTTGCAGTTATGGCTGATTGGCTCCCAGGAACTCAGGATTTTAAACAGGGTTGTTTAGCAGGTGTTCCTGTAGTCCAAGACTGGAAATTTTCTGCAAGTTAGTAGGCTTCCCTAGATGTACAGTCCCCACATGTGGCTTCCTGAAGCAGCTGAGGACTATTTATCACATTGGGAAACCCACAGCTGTGTTGTTTAAATGGACACTGGATTGTTGTCTGCTATGGACTGGTAGTTTTGTTTAAACTTTAACTAATTTTCTTAGAAGCACCATTAGTGAAAACAGTGACAGAAAATCAAGAGATCCACAAGTTTACTAAGATTTTGAGACTGGATTTAAATGGCAAAACAGAGAACCAAGAGGAAGATTTTGGAAATTAAGCCTAGTCTAGACTAGACATAAATGTATGTATATTTCAAAATGTGGAGCACTTTGAAGGAAACTATAATTTGATTTTTTTTTTTCCCTTAGGTATCTCATTCAGTTGCTAAACTCATATTAGTTAATTTCCACTGGCAAGTCTCAGAGATACTGGACAGGTAAGGTGTTTGGGGAGGGGCAAGATGATATATCACCCATAGCTTCCTTCTCTACTTACCCATCTAATGGTGATAATTTTGCTTGCGTTTTACAGTGTGAGTATTATGTTCTTAAAACTCTAGATCGTATTGTACATCTTTTTTTTCCTCAATATATTGTGATTGTGTCTTTAGCATATTTTTCTGCCCCAGTTTTAATGCTGGCACAATATTTGATCATATAGATGTTCCATACTTCTTCCAAACTCCTATTGTTGGATAATGAAGTTAGTTACAATTAATTATGCCATTGTTAGTTTTTATCAGTGCCCTTTTAGATAACATTATCAGAATCTCCAATTACTTCTTTTGGATACATGAGTGAGGAATGCATCATAACATATTGTATATTGCCCTCAAAAATAGTCAGCTTACCACTCACCATTCCCACCAGTAGGAGTGTCCCCCTACCTCCTCCAGAAACAGAACATTTGAGGCATAGACCTGAGAGTCTCAAAATGTCTTAGAAGTTGTCAGGATGAGGGGTTTTTCCTCTTCTTGCAGCCTCTGAAGAGATCCCTTGTCCCCTACCCTCAGAGGCATTTGTATCTACCTCAGGGTTGCTCAGCTTCAGTACTGTTGACATTTTTGGGCTGGATAATTCCTTGTTGTGGGAACTGTTCATTGTAGGATATTTTGCAGCATCCCTGACCTCTACCCCACTAGATGTCAGTAGCAGTGGCACCCCCTAGTCATTGATAAAAATATCTCCAGATATGTCAAATGATTCTTGGGAACAAAATCTTCCTGTGAGAATGATGGGTTTCGCCTTACACTCTTGCCCTTTCATGGTGCAGTGAATCTTTCTCTATAGGGCACAATTCCTTTATTTGCACAAGAAGGTTATGCCTTTCCTTCTTCAAACTAAACACAACTGGGATGGCCATAGCAGCTTACAGCAAGGTCAGTGTGTCCAGGAAGGGATAAATGAATTCCTGATTCACAAACCATGTGCTTACTTTCTAAACTTGTGCAAAAAGGACATGGAGGCGGCATCTTCTGACTTTCTATAACTTCACAAGAGGGAAACAGTCAACATCAACAGCCCAAGGCTAATTCCTATGAGGCCAAACTGCTGCCACTCTCCAGCCTTTTTTAGTAACTGACACCAGCCATCCCTCCCACAACACTCACTGCTTCTCTGCTGGGTTTGATAATTTATTGCGTTAACCACACAGAACTCACAATACTCATGATTTTGGGGTTTATTAGGCAAGTAAAAGGCTACAATGCAGGTTCAGGAATGTTCTCAGGATATTGTTCTTTGATCAGGATAGTTTCTCCTCTTGCTTTGCCCTCAGACATCCCTTACTGGCCCTTGGCCTCTCGGCCTGGCCTTTCTGGCTGGCCTGGCAAGTGTTACAAAGCTCTTTTAGCTCTGCTGATAAGTATGCCTACATGCACCCCACTTCTCCAGCAAGCCTCCTGCCCGGAGGCACGCAGCTTTCTCACTCAGGGGTCAGGTGAGCCCACTGCTCTGTATGGTGCCTCTTGGTTCCACTGCTGCTATGTCTCAGCTAGGCTTCTCTGCTGGGGCGTCTTTGCCAGGGTCCAGCACAGGGATCTCAGGTCCAAGGACACGCCACTCAAACTCCAGATCTTCTCTCTTCATGGCAGTGAGATCCCCCTTCTGCTCTAGGAGGGCTCATTTTAAACCTAGCAGAATGACAAAACTAACCAATCCCCACTTTAGAGTTCCATACACCTTTTTTGGATGGTCCCACCTGGTAATCTGGTGGGAGTCACAAAGACTATGTCTAGAAAAGCTATACCAGGTAATTTACTTCACCACAACTCGAGGACTAAATATGTTAGATAGACTTTCATATGAACCTGCACTGTTTGCACTATTGTTCTTGCTACCCAAAACTGCATAGGTTCAGATGATGGGTGTCTCTCCGTAGTCGATTCACCAGCCTCGACAACAGAGAATTGGATGGCTGAAGATATTAGAAATACCAGTGAAAGAATTAGGAATAAAATGAGTCCCTCAAGACAAGCTTATAGGTATTTCTTGGCCACAGCCAGCTACCCAGAGGGAGTGAGTAGTTGGACCTGTGGGCTTGGGACCATGGTCACAGGGGACATCAAGTTCACTTGGCATGACATACTACACAAAACCGTTGTTCCACATCCTACTTCGGTGAGTAGCGACTGGGACCTTAAAAGCTTGCAAGCAGACATCTAGAGGCAATGATGGGCCTCTCCTTATCTGGAGCAAAGAAGAATGAAGAAAACCAAGGGCACATGGAAACAATTAGTCCAAGGGACTGGTACACCATGTGATCCTCAGCATGTATGACTGAGATCAGAAGGACTAGATGGTGCCTGGCTACCACTGACAACCACTTGGAGGGGGATCTCTGTAGGAGATCCTGGATAGAGTGGGGGAACAATGTGGAACAAAACTCAAAATCATTAAAAAAAAAAGGGGGGGGGTGACCAGGTTTGCTGGTCTCATAGAGCCTGGTGAAACCCCTGAGACTATGGCCCCTACCTGCCCTTCAGGTCTGGAATTGAACCTACTTCTGTGGCTTCCAGCTAAACAAAACAAAGGCATATGAGCTGAACATTTACATTAGGTAGATAACACTCCTTGGAGAGATCAATCATGGGAGAATAAAAGGGCTGTGTATGCACAGGGAGACAGCTCGAGGGTAGTAGTGCATGGGAGGGAAGGACTTGGAAGAGGCGGCTGTGGGGAAGAAGAGGGAGGGGAGCTTTTGCATTGTGGGAGATTGCAGGCAATGTCATGAGACAAAGTGTATGTGAACTGCTGTATGGAAGATGAATTTTCCCTGTAGACTTTCACCCAAATCATGATAAAATTAAAAATAAAAAGAGTCCCTCAAAAAGAATAGTTGGAGGAGGTGTTATGGTGAGGTGGAGAAGGAAATCACATACAGGAAACCTTTCCTGCTGTGACTCCTGGTACCTTGGTCACGTGTTCACTTGGGCTTTATGTGGTACATTCATTGCCATGTGATAATTCTGTTTTTATTTCTAAATGTATTTATGCCATGCCTCATTTTAGAAAGGAATTGAGTTTTTATTATGAAAGAGATCATTTATTAAAAAAAGTGTGTGTGTCATTTATATATGGTTTAAAGAATAATAAACACCTTAGTCTCCACTCAAAGAAGAAACCCTATGGCCTGTACTTGAAGGCTCCTGCAGCTAGACCTGCCTGGCCCCAACCCCTTCTTTCCCATCTGAGGCAACTAGTGTCTTGTTGATGAACTCAGTGATCTTTTTCTTTATATATTCTTAAATGATATACATTTTAGTTTTGCATGCTTTTGTAATATCACAGACATGGAATCATGATGTACGTTTTCAAGATTTTTAATTAGCATAGTCGCATTTTATGTCATTCTCATGTTCAAGGACATTTGTGACATTTTTAGTTTTTTGCTGTTAAAATAATGTAGCTCTGAAAAGTCTTGAATGAGACTCCTAGTGTATACATGCATAATTTTTCTTCGGTTGAGTATAGAAAGTATATTGGTGAGGTGTAAGTTATGTGTATTTTCTGCTTTATTACCAAAAAACAAACTCACTGCCGTAGAGTTGATTTTGACCCATAGTGACCCCTCCTTGGGTTTCTAAGGCAGTACCTCTACAGAAATAAGTTGCCCATCTCCTTGTGAGGAGTGGCTGGTGGGTTTGAACCTGCAGCTTTCTGGTTAGCAGTCAAATGCCATAGGCATTATGCCACGAGAGCTCCTTCAGCTTTATTAGGTAATGCCAAATTGTTTTTCAAAGTGATTGTCACTTTATACTCCTACAGGTTGTGTATGAATGTTCCTAATATTGTCACAATTAAAATATAGTGAGTATAAAATTGTTATTAATTTCAGTCTCTCTGATTATTAAGGAACATCTTTTTGTGTACTTAATGACCATTTTTGCTTCCCTCTCTGTGAAATGCCCATGTCTTTTGCCTGTCTTTAAAAAATAATTTGTTTTATTTTGTTGTTGAGAATAACATACAGCATATACCAATTTAACAGTTTCTACATGTACAGTCCAGTGACATTGATTATGTTCTTCAAGTTGTGTAATTTTGCCCATTTTTAATTCAGTTATTTTGTCTTTTCAGACTAATTTTTAGGAGTTTTTGTTTATTCTGAATACTAATCATTTATTTGTTATCTATGTATATAATTATCTTCCAGTTTATGGCTGGTTTTTCAGTTTATGGTATCTTCTAATTAAACTGAAGTCACCTACCTATATTTCCAGAAAGGGATTTAAAGCAGATCTAGTCTTCATAAGTAGTTATCTTACTATTTAGTCCCTTTGAAGCAGTTATTTATTATTCTCATACTAATTGAGAGCTAAAAAACTGAAAAGAGAAGAAAATATTTGTACAAAGGCAAAAAGTAGCTTGGCTTTTTGAAACGATAATTGGAGATCCTTCACTGGGACAGTAGTGCTTGTTGGTCTGTCCTCTTTCTATTTAGAGTTTAAATATTTTTGTCTTCAGTTTCTGATTCCTTTATTTCTGCTTTTTGTTAGATACAAGTCCAATTCTGCTCAGCTACTCGTTGAGGCTCAAGTTCAGCCCAATCCATCAAAACACGTGAGTGTCTCCTACTTGAATGAGGCTGCTTCTGCTGTGCATGGCTCTTGCTATTTATCCCCATGTAGGCCTAAATCGTCCATTTCTGATATAGTTTGAAAAGTTTCTTTATAGATGGGAATACATCGTTGCCTGTCCTTGGGCCCTCTCCAGCCTTATCTTCCTCTCTTCACTTATACGTAGCCTGCGCTCTATTTCTGCTGGGAGTCTTGATGTTCCCAAGCTCACTGTTTTACTGCGTGTGCTTTCCCTAGCCTGGAATGCTGAGACCTTATCCCCATCTTTGCTTGTGGGGAGAATAGTTTGCTTTTAAAAACTCAAATCTCAAGCCACTTCCTTCACCAAACTTGTCTTCTGTGATCACTCGTCTCCCAACTCCTCTGGTTTTATGTTTAAATTTGTGCATGTATGTTGTAGTGATTCACTCATCTTTTTAGCTCCTGCATCACACACACTCTAAATGCTTTAAGGTTAGGAGCTGTATTTACAATGCCCAGCAATTTCCTGTGCATCTATCTCAGCTAACCGTGTTGAAAGAGCTTTCAGGAGGCAGAATTGAGGTCAAAGATCACCACCTAATGTCTGCAGTCTCCTAAGGGAAGGGTTTCCAGGAGCATAATGGAGGAACCTAATGTAAATATATAGTGACTTTCCTGCTGGTTTGTGGTTTGGGCTAGGATCCTGAGATTGTCTTTTTCTAGTAGTGTGTGTAACAAGACATAGATTCTGGAGTTTAACTTTCACAGTTACTTGTGTACATTCTCGGAGAGTTTCCTGCTTAGTGGGAGCCTTCCCTGTCCTTCTGAGTCAGTTATCTGTGAGATCTTTTCAATGTGTTAAGTTAGAATTTGGTGAAAATTATTTTGTAGTTTAAGCATATTGATATGGAAAAACCACTGTCCTTGACAAGTAAAACTACAGTGTGGGCTGTTACAAGCTTTACAGACATGATCTCCAAGACCCTTTGTGAGTGGGTTTGTATTAATTAAGGTGCAACTTCGTTGTGCTGAATAGGGGCAATTTACAAAAAAAACACCCAGATAGCCTCTAAAAGAAAACGTTGTTGTTGTTGTTATTTGCTGTCGAGTCAGCCCCGACTCATAAGACCTCTTTTTTTAAAAAAAAAAAAGCTCATTGCCATCAAGTTGATTCTGACTCATAACAGCCCTATGAGATAGAGTAGGGTTTCCAAGGCTGTGATGTTTATCGAGGCATGCTGCCACATCTCCCATAGGCTGGTGGGTTTGCAGCCAAGTGCTTCACTACACCACCAGGGCTCCTTGAATGACCCTTCTAATTCAGAAATTCTGAACTTTTCAGATTAACATCATAAACTGTTGTAAACTCATTTCACCTTTTCTGCTTTTATTCCTGCCCCTCTGCATGCTAGTCTTTCTGTAAGCTCAGCAGCTCAGGTGCCCCTCCTTCAGGAAGTCTTCCTGGTGTGCATGCTCTGCTCAGCACTCTTGGGATTTGTAGAGTACATACAGTGCAGTTGAGCTCTGGCATTTGTCTCAGGGTCAGGATTGCCTTCTGGCCTCCTGGGTACCTGGAGGCTCCTCTTTGGCTCATATGGCTATGCTTCTCCTCAGGTCCCCACAGCCCATCCCCCTCACCACTGCGCAGTGTGTATGCAGTTTGTGCGGAAGGAGAACCTACTCTCTCTGGCTTGTCAGCACCAGTTTTGCCGCAGCTGCTGGGAGCAGCACTGCTCAGTACTTGTCAAGGATGGTGTAGGCGTGGGTGAGTCTGGGAAGAAGTATTTATCTTCGATTCTGCCTTTTCAGGTACTCAGGTAAACTGAGTATTTTCTTCTGACCCAGATTGTGGTTCCCAAATATACCATTTTGAACATTGGCAAAGTTATCCCCCATCCTCAGCAAAACAAGAAAATTAAGGATATTTTTGGGCACATATGTTGGTATTAGTACAAGGCTGCATTTGTTTGATTTTGGGGAGAACTGTCCTTTAAGCTGCCTACCTTATGTTGGTTCCCCAAGTGGTAGCCATAGCTTAGAAATACTTCAAGTTTGCTGCTCTTTAGGTAATAGCGCAAATCAAATTTTTTATAATAATTATAGGAGCATTTGTTATACTATGATTTGATAACATTGAAACCAAATGAACATCACCTTCATTGGTATCTGCAAAATCTCACTGTATTGGTGATTATCATTTACATATAAAATTAAACATTACAGAAAATGAGTAGTTAAGAACCCTATAGAGTTCTTTAGATGATTTTGTTTTTAATGGTGCTCTTCATGATGTATATGTAATTTGAGGTAATAATATTTTAATTTCATCACTTTGAAAATATGTTCATTTCCATCTTTTCTTCTTTGACTAAATTATTTTACTTAAAGGGTTCTTTATATGGAATCTGAATTTAACTTACTGATTGATCCCTAAGATTTGACTTCACTGGGTAAGTGTGGTGTTGTGTCTCTTGCAATATGGTTGCTCGATAGGGGTTTTTGTTCAATATGTCTTTATTCAATAGGGGTCTCTTGCATGGCTCAAGATTGCCCACTCCGAACACCAGAGGACTTTGTATTTCCGTTGCTGCCCAATGAAGAATTGAGAGATAAATACAGACGCTACCTCTTCAGGGACTATGTGGAGGTATATGACCAGCCCCTGTTCTGCCCTTTGTTTTTCTGGGCCTGCCTTCCATTAGAGGCTCTTCCACAGTTACTTATTTTATAGGTCGGGCTGCCATTAGGCAAGGATTTTAAGATGCGCTTCATGGCTTAAAAAAAATTTGAAAACCATTAGAGTAATGGCCTCAGAGTTAGAAAGTGTGAGTCTCACCCAAGTTTTCTGCTTCCTCACTGTGTGACCTCTGAGCCTCTTTTGTAGGTTGGACAGGCATCCCCACGTTATACACAGTTACTTAAATAAGCTATTGTGTGTCAGGGGGTGGACACAGTCAGGTGTTGCTTCCCCATTTTGTTCACTTTGATTCAGCACAGAGAAAAGGTATTGCTTCTTAGAGCAATTCGAAGACTTGTCCAGAATTCCAGCATGGTTAGTTTTAGAGTCCTTCCCCTTTTCTTGGGCTACTTAATTTAGACTTGCTGATTATATGCAGTGTAGTGTTCATCTCTGTCTTTTATGACTAAGTTTATTGGATTGATTACTGATCTGGGTCTTTACAAACTACAGGATAAACAGAAGACCTTGTTCTTTGTGCTGTTTGCTGTCTTTGGATGCCAAAGGGTCGTTGAACCCCTCAGTGCTATCTTAAGTACACCTGACTGGGCTGTGTTCCTTTATAGCCCTAGTCCATATGCACTGTCATCACACAGACATAACTCTATTCTATTTTGTAATCTAACCTTTGTTTTTCAAGCTTAATATTCACAGTCTGGCTGATGTGTGGCCTTCATGACATCTATTCTGAAATTCCGTAGCCCCTTGATCTGTCAAAAAAGTGGAAGACCGTAGGCATTTCAGTACCCAGGGAATTTAATTTAGAGGCAGTGGACAAGGGATATCCTCATGGTTTCTCCTTGGTATGTTCACAGAGTCATTACCAGCTCCAGCTGTGCCCTGGTGCAGACTGCCCCATGGTTATCCGGGTACAGGAGCCCAGAGCTCGCCGAGTGCAGTGCAATCGATGCAACGAGGTCTTCTGGTAAGAGTGAGTTTGGGTGCAAAGCAACCCTGGGCTCATACCCCCTCCTCCTCCATAGCTGCACTGCTGTTGCTCTGTGTGCGCCAAGTGCAAGGTTTGTGCTCATCATCTCATGTTGCACAAGGTGTTTGATGAATGCTCAGTTTGGAGACAAGGAAGTGGTTTATGCTACTGAGACGCAGGATTTAGAAAGTATGTGGGTCTATGTGGGTCTGTATCTGCCTGAACAGAAAATTCACATATTACTGTTTGAAAAGCCATAACTTACAACGTTTTTTCGCCTTTCTTGGCTAATTTTTTAAAGCTGTAATTCATAAATGGATTCTGCACAGTGCAAAATTTGTCTAGTTTCCAAGATAATAGGTACATTGAAGTTGGAAAAATAACGAAGAATAATGAAGTAGAGGAGTGGCCAACAAGCACCAAGTTCCTTATTAGTATCCTTTATAAAAGGACACAGATGTAGTGCATGCTGAGAAAGCAGTTTTCAAAATCTGTAGGCGTTTGTCTGTTTCAGCATTTTATGTAATACCAGAAAATTGGAAACCACATAAACATATCAGTAAGTTAATTTATCAGTTACCTAAAACAACATCAGAATTTAAAAAAGGAAAAACACAAAGTTTCTTGTGTATGTTATTATTAGTTGCTATCAAATTGATTCTGACTCATGACGACCCTATGTTTATAGAGCAGCATCTTTCAGAAGCAAATCTCCAGGCCTGTCTTTCAAGGTCCCTTTGGGTGGTTCAGACCACCAACTTCTGGGCTTATGGTCAAGCACGTAACTGTTTGTGCCATCCAGGAACTCAGTTGGCATAAAGAATGCAAAATTATTTGTGTTATGATTATTGGGTGAAAACTGTTAAGTGGATGGGGAAATCCTTTTTTTTTCTAAATAAAAGTGTGATGAAAGGCAGGCATAATGTCGTGTTAATGAGGCCTTGAGTGTTTTCATGCTGCCATGTTACTATCAGGCTCTGTACGTTCCCCAATAGCAGGGCATGAAGTGGGGAGGCAGATGGTTGATGACCTGAGCCTGGGCAGACAGTCTTAGCCGATTAGAGCTTCATGTTACCATAAATACTTTCTGGATCAAACTGGAGTAGAAAAGGAGAGCTACTTGCTATTACTGGGTTTGCCATAGTTTGGTGTCACTTGAAGAATGTCAGTAGTATTAGGTATTTGACATTTTCCCCAATAAATTACTCATAAAAAAAGCATTGTTGCTGCAATCTTGGATTTGGTGATGATAAATAGTTGGTATAGACTAGAGAATCACTTACCACCATAATGATAGGTCTTCTTTCACTCAGCATAGGCCAGATACCTTGGGTGAATGGTCCACATCTTGGTGCATAGACTTGAAGCAGTAAACTGCAGGTTGAAGTAGGAAGGACTATGTGCAGAATACGAGGAAGCATTGAAGAAGCAATGCCTGCTTGGCAGAAGAATTGGGAAGAGAGTCATTAACAAGGACTTCCCGGAGGAGATAAAGTCTAGGTTTACACTTAGGAAGAAGAGTTGCTGAGCTGTGTTTGTGAAGAGAGTGGTTGGGGTGACTCCACACCAGGGATGTGAGTGCTTTTTGATATCTGTGAGGTGTGATACATAACTTGGAAGTGGTGGCAGATGGTACTTTGCTTCTTGGAGTTGCCATCTACAGGTGTATATGAGAAGAGGCTGGGAGCTGGATGAATGCTTGTTGACTGAAATTAGACAGATTTAATTTGTCTTTGTTCTTTCTGTTTTCAGTATTCAGGGGTTGGGATACTCTTTCTACAGAAGGGACAAGCTGAATAACTCATCTAACTCGGGGTTTAACTCTTCCATTCAGTAAATGTGATAAGAATAGCTAAGGTTTACTGAAGGCTTACTAGATGACAGGCACTATCCTGAGCTTTACTTGCATTATCACAACTGTATATGATTTGTACTTTTGATACCCTTATATTATAGGTGAGGAAATCAAGACACAAGGTAACCTAGCTAATAGGCAAAGGCATAGTTTAGGTCCAGATCTATTGCCCTAATCACACCTCCCTGGAGGATTCATGGTGGAGCTTAAGAGAAACTACATGGAAAATTGTGTTTGCACATGTGCCTGCCTTTCAAGATATTGAGGGAGTTTGTGGCCCACTAAAGGTTAAGAGCCACTAATAAAATTATTCTCCATCCTTTGTGTCCCACATTATGAACTTCTCTTCCTGGAGCATGTGTTGGCTGTCTGTCTGAGGGCCCTTACTGTCCACAAAGTTCTGTTGGCTTGGACTGAATGAACACAGTGAGAGACTGACCAAGCATTTGAATGTTGTTATTTTCTGATCTTGAGTTTCAGGTGCCAGATATATCATGCCCCCCATAGTGTACAAGTTTGAACACTTGTGTGTCCTTTATGCACGTGTGACTGGGAGATGAGAAATGTATCTCAGGCTTGGCTTGGGTATGAGCCAAGGCGTCTTTCACAGAGCATCCCCATCAGCCCTTTGAGAGGTCTGTATTTGACATCCTTTCAGGAAGAATTGAAACCAAATAAGATATTTAAAACAGTAATACTTCATTTGGAAGTATTATGAGCATATCTTAAAGGGCTCAGATTGAAGAGAAATTCACACGGTATTTGAGTATAATTCTAGGTAAGTAGAGGCCCCAAAGACCTTCAGAGATGACCTATCCTCTTTGAAAAGCTCTAGTTCAAGATCAGTTGGCTTGGAAAAAAGGGAAAATTGAGATCTGACCTGAAGAGTATTTGAATGTTTCTCTTTTCTGATTTTAAGTTTCAAGTGTCGTCAGATGTATCACGCACCCACAGACTGCGCCACAATCCGGAAATGGCTCACGAAGTGTGCAGACGACTCTGAAACGGCCAACTACATTAGTGCTCACACTAAAGACGTAAGGACCGTATCTTACCTGTCATGGATCTGCCCTCCTTAGTGCAGCCCAAGGCCTTGCCCGGGAGAAGTTCCACTTGAGAGCAGAACACCCAGGGCCCTAGCGCCCTTGCTGGAGGTTGCAAACCCTCCCCACACTTGGCAGAATTTGTGGTGGTTTATTATAGAATGATTTGGGTGCATGTATTTTAACAAAATGGTGAAATTCCTGGAGAAGTGGGACCCAAGGGAGAATTAATCAGAAGAAAAACTAGTTTTTATTGAATGCCTACCAGGCTGTAGCAGCCTTGGGAACAGCAGGTGGTTAATGGCCACAGTGGTTAAAATAGCAAAGCTGTAATAAGCCTTGGCCTACCCAGTTCTCATTCTGAAGCTTCCTATGAGAAGCATGACTTGTGGTACCTTGAGCTCTGGGTGACCCAGCACTTGAGGCTGTACCCTGTGTCAGTCATTTACAGAGTCAAGAGGACTTAAAAGCACAGCTGTGACTATGACATCACTGTCTTAGACTGGGTTCTCTAGAGGAGAAAAACCAGTGAAACATATATTTATATAAAGAGATTTATTTTAAGAAAATGGCTCGTGCAGTTTTGAAGCCTGGCAAGTTCCAAATCCATGGGTCAGGTGTCAGGCTGGAGATTTCTTCTGACTCACATGGTTGCAGGGGCTGGCAAATCCAAAATCAGCTGGTCAGACAGAGGGTTGCTGGCTCACGGGGTTGTGGGAGCTGGCAAATCTCAAAATCTGCAGTTCAAATGGCAGGCTGCTACTAGCTCGTGTCCCAAGAACTGTAGGTCAGAGGATGAACAAAGAACTGTAGGTCAGAGGATGAACGCAGGATGGGGAGAAGGCGAGTTCTTTCAGCTGACTGGCTGCTCACATTAGATTACAAAATGAAGGATGGTTACATAATATCTGCCAGCCCACTGAGAATCATGGCCTACCCAAGTTGACACATATAACATAACCATCACAGTCTACCCATTGTCAATTTGGCATCTGTACACATCTCTTTACCTCATAACATAATCTCTAAATAAGAATAATTATGGAGGCATACTTACAGTCAGTGTCATGAAACAAAGTGTGTATCAGCTGTTGTATGGAAAATGAAGTCATGCCTGTACCTAACATGATGGAACTAACGTGTACAACCAGAAACACATTAGCCCCATTTACATCTTATATTTTATAATAGGTAATGGAATAAGGGAGGGAAGAAAACAAAGATAACTGCTACACATACACATACATAAAACAAGGAAGAAATATTCAAAACAATTCCAGTCTTCATTTCTGCAACCAGTCACATGGTCATAACCAGTATTTAGAACTACCTTCTTCCATTCCATTATTCCATTCCATATTTCCTTTGCCCTCAGCAAGAACCTCAGATGCTTTACTTGGTGGGGTAACCCAGACCTTCATTCCTGAAGGGCCTGGGCCATTAGTAATCATTTCAGAATTGAGTTGCTATTGTTTTCCATTGACTTTAACAGGGCATGGCAGTAATAAGAGATGTTCAGAGGGGCCTCCTGTATTCCAGACATAATCTTCATTTCCCTCATTAAGCACTATCATTGTAATTTCACCTTGGTAGTCAAGGTCAGTCACACCGGCCCCTAGGATAACTCCCTTTGCCTATTGATCCAGCGGGATGAGGAGTGCAAAATGGCTGGGTGACATTCTTCACTTATAGTTCAGTGGAAACAGTGTTATGTCCCAAGAGGTGGGAGCATTCCTCCCTCTGGAACGAAGACCTCCAGACCCGTAGAGCATAGGGTCACAGGGACAGGAAGCAGAAATCTTGCAAGTGGCTCACTAGGGATAATAGTGAATGGTGCCACTCCTGTTTCCACCCCTTGATTCCTGGACCCATGAATTTTGGCTGTGGGAGAAACAGCACCATCTATTGGATGCTGGTTTCGAGCATATACAGCCTCCTAGAGAACATTGCCCCAACCCGGCAAGGTTGCTGGTGCTATAATTGAATCTTTAGAAGGCCATTCCATCAAGCTAGCTGCTTCGGGATGAGGGAAACATGGTAAGACCAGTGAATTCCATAAGCACGGGCCCATTGCTGCACTTCATTTGCTATGAAGTGATTTCCTTGATCAGAGGCAATGCAGTATGGGATACCATGATGGTGGATCATCATTAAACTTAGTTGACTTCATGGCAGTGGGAGAGCACAGCAGCAGACTGTTCTTTGCATCACTGTCTGAGGTTGCTCATGTCTCTCCTGTGAGAGAGAGTGGCTTCAGAGGTTGTTCCCTGCCCTCTTCTGGAACCAGAAGCCCAGGCAAGCTGACCAAGACTTAGTCCAGCGTGTTAGCTCTTGTGGTTTCTTTGGCAGTCTTCCTAAGCAGACAGGCTTTCTGCTGACTCAACCTTAGCTTAATCTAGCAGCTTTGGGCAGGGACAGATGGTAGAAGACTTAACAGGGCTCACCTGGTGTTTGGAGTGTTTCATAGCCAAACGTGCTGACCTCATTTCCTTGAATTGCTGTTCCAGCCTCAGCGACCTGCCACATTAAGTGAGATGCTCCTCCCCCAGCAGTGCTCGCACGATGAGCTACTGGGCACGGGTTCCAGGAACTTTGTGTAATTTATCTTAGAACCGGCCTGATCGTGTGTGAGCCTAATGGCACCCTTCTGTCTCCTCAGTGTCCCAAGTGTAACATCTGCATTGAGAAGAACGGAGGCTGCAATCACATGGTGAGCACAGATGCCTGTACACTTTGCATGTGTGGTATGGAGCCTTTGGTCAGCATGCCCTTAACATGTTCTCTTCTGTTTCCCTCTGACAGCAATGCTCCAAGTGTAAACATGGTGAGTCCCAGGCTTGGCGCTCAAGGCCCAGTGGTGCAGTCTGTTTCTTGTGCTTGGGTCACCATTGCTTGTTTAGTGAGTACTTTGCTAGTGAAATGAGAAGACACAGGGAAGCTCCAGTCACTTGTGGTTATAATAACTGTTAAAAAGCAGCTCTTTTTTAATTTATTCATTCTTATAATCCCACTATTTCACTGACACCTAAGTGAGCAGTTCTATTTGGGGTTACTTTAGACCTTCATGATTCTTCAGTCATCAGGAAGATTTTAATGTGTTCCTTTTATTCTTTTTGCCAAGGCAGGTAAGTAGCATGGGCTTGCCTTTTTAGAGCAGGTTTCACCAGAGATAGTAAAATAGTAGTTTTCCTTTGAGGGTTGTAAAGTTTCCAGAAAGAGTTTTGATTTGTTCATTCAGGCCTGTCAGGAACAGGTTACACAGAAAAAACCTGGGTTTTTTTGGCCAGAGCAAGTGAAGAAACAAAATTCTTCCAAGTAGAAAATGTGTCCAAATAGGTTTCTTACACAACTTCTTACTTGCTAAGTAGGAAGTCTTGAGAAGTTCTCTTTATAAGGGCCCATGCTAATACTATTTCCTGTGTTTGCCCAGGAGCCCTGTAAAATCAGGGTAGACATGACAAGGTCTTAGATAAAAGCAGTGACTCTGAAGTATAGAATGAAGACAGGCTCAGGGTAGCAGCATATTTCCTTGATGTGGGGTCCCACTCTTATCTGTGTGTGTGTGTGTGTGTGTGTAGGGAAGTATCTTAGAATAGTGAATAAGACACATGTATACTTTAAAGAGGAATGACAAAGTGAATACACCTGTACCTATCACATTCCTAGTACCCCCTGAACGCCACTCTCCAGTCATAGTCTCCGCATCCCTTGCTTTGCTGTATAGTTATTCCACCTACACAGGCAACCCAAAACAATGTATTATTATCACTTCAAAAGAGTAGCAAGCACAACCTGGCTGATTAAGGAGAGAGTAATATAGCCCCTGTTAGATGAAGCCTCCCAGAGAAAGAGAAGTTACTTACGAAGCCTCTTGGTCTCTAGGTCTGGCTTTAGCTTCCCTAAAACTTTACAAGAGCCCCTTTTGAGAAGTCAGCCAAGTTAGGAGAGTGAATCCTGGGAAATAAGACTTCCCACAGTTGGAGTATCTGGCAGAGGCAATGTAGACCAGGTACTGGACATCCAGTGGAGCTGTGGTTGGACCTTCTCCATTCGAATTAGACTGTAGTTTTTGTTTGGATGGCTAGCATTCAAAAAGGCAGTCTTTATTTTTCCTCCTTTGTTTCCTCAGTGTGGAAGCATAATCATAATTTTAAGTATGACCTTTTAGGTAGCTGTAGGTTTTATAGAAATGTGCTTTTTAAAAAAAAGCAAATGGAGAAAAAAAAGCCTTTATTCCAGCTTCATATACAAAACATTTTCTTGGACAGATGCTGTGAAGGTGAGAAGTGCTCATGAGGGTACTTTGTAAAGATGATGTGCATTCTGAATGTCCAGGTGGTCCTCAGTTGGATAGGTTTTTCCTTTTCACAGTAGCATTGCCACAGAGAGACGAACAGTCTACACTGTCAGCATTGCCGGTGTGGGATTAAAAAGGCACACAATTCACTTGCTCCCAAGGTCAAGAATATCTGAAGACAGTTCATATCAGCAAAGACAGGCTACAGAGACACAGATGTGACAGGGATGAGATGTGCCTTCCCTCTAAAAAGACGCACCCTTGGGAAGTTCTGGTCACATAACTCCCCCTGGAACTGGATCTCCACTCTGGGCTGCCCCACTGTCTGTCCCTCAGCTTTGCCTATTGTTCTAGAGGAACGTGGGGTTGTCTTGTGGGTGTAAATAACTCCATCTCTGTTCTGTGCAGACTTCTGCTGGATGTGTCTAGGAGATTGGAAGACCCATGGCAGTGAGTACTATGAGTGCAGTAGGTACAAGGAGAATCCTGACATTGTCAACCAGAGCCAGCAGGCCCAGGCCAGGGAGGCCCTCAAGAAGTATTTATTCTACTTTGAGAGGGTAGGTGCCCTGTCCTGTACCTGCCCCTCAAGGGTGGGCTGCTCCAGCTGGCCTGCTTGGGTGGGATTCCTAGTAGCTGGTAACCAGAGGGGGGCTGTGCACACAGAAGTCAGTGAGTGTATCAAGCTCCTGCAATGACCCTGGGTACTCTCTCCATCAGTGTGGTTTTCAGGGTCTACAGGGCCACCAAAGCTAATGGGGAAGAACGTAGTGCTGACCATGGTTGGAAGCTAGATAGAAGAATGATGAAGGACTGCCAGCCATGTGTTTTCCATCTGGTGCCATCTTAATATTATGTAGAAGGCAGTTCTTCCAGGGAGACCCTTGAGAAGCCCACAGAGCACATTCGGTTTCTAAGCACAGTAAAATGGTGGATGCCTGGCTTTGCTTAGTCCTCAAGTGACCAGTGCCCCGTTGCCCCAGAGGGGTGGAGTGAGTGATCTGGCAGGCCGCTAGGCAGCTGCTTTGGCTAGAGTAAGAATGTGTACTGAAGAAGCCTCCTTCCTGCTCTCTTAAGAACACACAGCCTGATAACTTACAGGAGACTGTGGCCTGGCCTTACCAGCCAAGGTGTCTGCTGAACTTTTGTGTGGACATCCACATCAGAACTTCTTCAGCTTTCTCTCCTTCTTTCTATACCCTGCAGTGGGAAAACCACAACAAAAGCTTACAGCTGGAGGCACAGACATACCAGCGGATTCACGAGAAGATTCAGGAGAGGGTCATGAACAACCTGGGGACATGGATTGACTGGCAGTACCTACAGAATGCTGCCAAGCTCTTGGCCAAGGTATCCACCACACTTTTCCGACCTGCAGTGAATGCCTGGTACTGTTGGGCCCAGACATCTGAGGGTGGGGTACCCTCGCTGGGGAGGGTGCCCAGCACACTGTGCAGTCCTGCATGCTCCTCCTTATGGGTCCACGTTTACCTGGGTGGGCCAGGCCCACTGAGGACCCGGCCCCTTTGCTGGATGTCTGGGGGATTTTCAAGAAGAGTGCTCTACTGCCTCTTCCTTCAGGGAAGGAGCTGCAGGAAAAACTAGAGCTCTTTTCTTCTTCTTTTGTTCCCATCCATGCATCACTCAAAGGAAAATAAGAGATTGTCTTTGGACAAGTGTTGAGCTAGACAAGTGTGGACTCTGGGTCCAACTCGAGAGGGAAGAGCCATTGAGGCAGCTGCTGGTAATAAATCACAGTTTGAAAAAGGAGCCGTGCGTGTTCTGTGACCATTTTTCTTTGAATGATCCCAGTGTCTTCCCCTAGTTCATCCTCTGGCTTGGCCTGATTTTCCTCAGGCCCATCCATACCTGTAGAGCCAAGCTAATTTGCATGGTGGGATAAGAACTGTAAAGGCCGCCTGAGATGTGGGTGGGTTAGAATTACACAGCCCTCTTTCTCCTCTCCTACTGCAGTGTCGATATACTTTGCAATACACCTACCCGTATGCATACTACATGGAGTCAGGACCCAGGAAGAAACTGGTAAGGAGCAACCCCTCACCTTGCCTTCTTCACTCCTAGAGGTGCCCTTTTCTACTGGCACTTTGCATGAAAGCAGAGAGGGCAAAATCAAAACAAAACTGTCCCTTTCTACTTTGGGTTTGGGCATCTCCAGGATAGATATCAGGTGCTGGCATTTTGTATCATAGTAAGTCAGATTGACCTCAGCCTTGGAATGACAATATTTACAGAGTGGTGGCCAGAGGGTGGGGTTGGCTCTGTTGCATGAAAAGTTGTGGTCACTTGGGAGCCAGGTGCCCTGTTCTGGGAGGACTTTGGGCACACATGTCCCTAAGTTGTAGTCGAACTTGTCCATTTTTTTTTTCAATTCTGTATTTTTCATATGGGCTATTCCCCAATTATAAAGTAAACTACATTTATTGTTTTAACTTTTGGAAAATACAGAAAAGATTTTGCATCATCCATTATACCACCAGAAATGACCACTTTTAGCATTTTCCAGCCTTTTAAAGTAGATACTATTTATGTAATCAAGGTCATATGTAACATTTTATATACATCATTTATTAGATTGGTAAATATGGGAGCTCTGGTGGTGTAGTGCCTAAGGCATTTGACTGCTAACCAGAAGGCTGGCAGTTCAAACCCACCAGCCACTCCTCGGAGGTGAACAACAATTTTTTAATGGCTGCAGAAATGTTACATTATATGGTTGTATCATCATTTGGAACATTTATTCTTTCCTATTTTTCACAACTGTAAATAAAACATTGAGGAACATCTTTATACATAAAGCTTTATCTCCTTAGGTTAGATTCCTAGATGTGTAATTACTAAGTCAAATGGCTTGAACATTTTTAAGGCTCTTGGTTTGCAGAATGACTGAACACATAAAAAGTGTTCAGTGACAACAGTGTCTGCACATGTCCATTTTGACTTGATACTTTAGCATCTGTTTCCTTATGTGCTGGGACCGTTCTCTTCAGTGGCTTAAATTCTTACCTCTTTGGCCATATTCTTTGGGTAGCCTTTGGTCTGCATTCTGGCTCTAGACACAGGGAATAAAATGTCCTCTGCTTCTGAGAACAGTATTAGAGTTGTCTATAGCCCGTGTGAGCCTGAGGTACTGCGTTGCCCCTCTGTCTGAAGCCCTGACCTGGCTTTCAGACCTTTCTTCTTTTGACCATCCTACTCTGCCCATACAGTTTGAATACCAGCAGGCTCAGTTGGAAGCTGAGATCGAAAACCTGTCATGGAAAGTGGAGCGTGCAGACAGCTATGACAGAGGGGTGAGTACCTGCTGTTCTCTTGGACTCTGCATTGCAGGCGAGGGAGGGCTGGTGTGGTATCTGATGACAGTTGTGTCATGTGGACAAAAGCTGCTCCTGAGAAGGTGGGAGTGCAGTGCTTTTGACTCCCCCAGAACCCCTGACATCGTGGGCATGGCTTTGTCTGTTCCCTGCTCCCAGAGTGGGCCATGCAAACAACCATCTTGCTTCCCTGGTGCAGGACTTGGAGAACCAGATGCACATAGCAGAACAGCGGAGGAGAACCCTGCTGAAGGATTTCCATGACACCTAGGTCACGACACGGGCGTGCCGGGTGAGGAAGATGCGCCTGAGAGGTCTCCCGGCTGTCACACTGCATGCTGCAGGCTCTGCCTTTCACAACCCCAGGCGACAGCCAGGGCCCCACTCCTGAGAGACACTGGCAACACACCTCTTAGTCGATTTCTGTTTTCTTCTCATCTTTTTGCTTTTTGTTTCTACCAGGGTAGAAGCCATGTTGAATTGGCTCCTTTTCAGGACTTTTAATTCCCCCTGGATGGTTGTTGGGAGGGAGGGAAAGTTTTTTCTGAATGGCTATTAATAGTATTAGATCATTACAACTTAATGTAATTTTCAGAGGTTGTACAATTATACAAAAAAGAAAAAAAAAAGGCAAACAGTAGAATAAGAAAAACCCTTTTTAAAAATAAATTGGCATTGGAGTGTTTTAACCTCTAGCTATTTTACTTAGAACATAACATATGCTGCCTGCCCACCATGCCTGAGAATGTCTGTACTGCAAGAGGGCCTCAGGTGGCCTCTGTTTTCCAGTTTCACATGTATTTGACCACAGCTGGAGTCCCAAGGGAAAAGCATGAGTGATGGGTGGTGGGGAGTTGAGTTGGCTTATGCAATAGGGTGTGGAGTGCAGGGTGTCACGTTATGCCTCCTGCCTGGTCCTTGTAGACACTTCTGTGATGAGGTGCACCTGTCTCGCCTTGGCAATGAGGAGACAGTACAAGACAGGATTTTCTTGCCATGAGTGTCCTCTCTGGTGGTGCTGCATGTCTGAGAGCTCATCTTTATTCTTGAAAGTGAGGATTACCCGGACCTGGCTAGAGAGGGCAGAGCCCACAGCAGAACACAGGTGTACTTGTGACTCTCCAGACTAGGGGATGCGGGTTCAGCACAGTGTTTCCTTTTGTGTCTTAGAAGTAGAGGTCCACTTTCAAAAGGAGTTTTTCCCCAAAGTGAATTATTTTTACCTTGGTACATTCTTTTGTGCCAGTGTTCCAGTGGTGGTGACTCTGACCAGAGTCTTGCACCAGTACTGTCCTGCTGTACCCTCTGGTGAGCATCATGGTCAGAGTTCAGCATGGTCCTCAAGGGGACTGGCCTTCAAGGGCCAAGTTTCATATCACCTGGAGTATATCCAGTGATTGCTCTTACTGTGCTCCCCTCACCTGGTTCCTTACCACCTTTGGGGCCTGTGAGTCTGAGGTCAGGAGGGCCTTAGTTTGTGGTCTCAGCTTCTGTACTATGAGAGGTTGGCAAGGGGAGCAGGCCAGTTTTGGGGGTATAATCGAGCAAAAGGGATCCAGTGGTTCACTTGATAGCCTACCTGTCCCAACCTGGACCTGTAGGCCTTTGAACAGTTAGATCTGTGGTCTCTGGGGCTTCCACTCTGAGACTGGCAGAGCTGTCTGTGCTCAAAACAGGACCTCCTTGACCTCCTGGAAGAGCTGGTAGGGAGATGATCTGTGAGTATTTTTTGGAAATTCTTTGTTACTCGTACATTTTCACCTCTAGTCAGCAATTTCCCAGGTACCATGTAAGCTGTGAAACTTGAGTCACCCTTGAAGACAGAGGACAGCTGTGACTCTTGGGGTACATGGCTGGCTGTGGCCTTTCTCCCTTCTCAGGTTTTGTCTTCTGTCATCCTCAGCCAGCAAGGAGGGACTGTGGTGTGGGGAGGGAGAACAAGTTAGGAGTTTGGCACACTAACCCAGAGTAGGTCAGTGGGGAACTCATTGTGAAAAAGGTGAGCACCTGCTGTGGGAGCTACAGGGGAGGTATGACTGCTGTGTTTACACATGGAGGGAGGATCTTGGTGTCTGGAGCCTTTACCTCTCCATTGCAACCTTTCCATGGCACCACCATGGCTCAAGGAACTGAATTGCAACTCTGCCCCCTGTGTTGTGCCCTGGGCATTTTCTGGACTTCACAGCTGCCGTGTCCTGCACTTGTGTCTAGCTGTGGCCCTGACCACTGGAGCTGCAGGGGTTTCTGTGCCCAGACCCTCAGCCTGCATCCCTTGACCTGTGGAGAGCTTCCTTTTGTGCCTCCAGTGGCTGTCCTTCATTAATGTCAGGAAGATGGGAATGGACAGGCAGAATTTTTCTGCCTTTTAAACAATAGAAGAGAGAGGAAGGCACAGTGTTTTCATGAATTTACCATGTGTTTGCTTTTCTTCAAAGAAAAAGTTCATTGAGGCAATGTCATCTGCTCAAAGTTGAGTGGTTTATTCAAAATAAACTGTAAGTTTCTGATTATAAAAGTGTGTATAGAGTCTTTCTTCAAAGAGTTCAAGTAGCCTCCTGAGCCATTGCCTCGGGGGATCCGTCCATAGTGAGTGCTATGCAAGGGCCTTCATGTCCATCATCCTCTCCTCCAGAGGTATGGGGAAGAGCCCTGCCTTTCTTCCCTTTCTGGCTGTCTAGGGAGAGGACCCTCTGAATGGTCCCTGTGGAGAAAGGTGAACAATTTCCCACTGTAAGAAGGTCCCTGGATTGTGGGAGGACACTGATTCTGATGCCCCTACAGCTCTTGCTCAAGGCCCCCAATCTAAAGAATCCCTGGGTTCCTCCAGAGCAGTCAGCACAGAGGACGTGGAGTATGACGGGAGTTAGGACTTTATGGGAGCCCTGAGGGGTATGAAGAGAGGACTTGGGACAGAAACTGAAGTTATTTGGAGAATCCTCAAGGGTTCAGGACAGGAAAGGGGTTTGGGTGCTGAATGAGGGCCCCACATTGGAGGTAGCAGGAGTGGTAGCAACATTAAGTGGTGAAGGGTCCCCAGCTATGCACAGCACACACTAGACAGTTGAGGCCAGAAGAGGGCTGAGACGCTGCCAGGCTAAAATCTTTGGCTGTTCCTCATGTAATCTGGGTGTGCCGGGCCCCATGCTTGGTACCTAGATAAATAATGGCATTCAGAAGATAAATAAGCCCCACCCTCCAGGAGCCTCCAACCTTGCTGATGAGATTGGTTATTAGTGAGTGTTTTTACTCGGGTTCAAGGGCCCATTCATCTGGCCCATCCATGCATAAGACACCCCTGCAGATGAGTGGGAAGAGTACAATGGTCTTGGTACTACATTCTTCTACACCTTGGTGATCTTAAAAAGGAATAAGAGAAGATGACACATTCCAGCAGACAGGAAGGATTTTCCACATACCCCCCCCCAGGGGTTCATGCAGCAGTTTTCTGAGCATCAACAATGTTCTAGGCTCTATTCAAGGCACAGAGGACAGAGCCATTGACAAGCCAGACCAATTCCTGTCCCCACAAGACAAACACTAATGGGAACTGAGCCTGTAACCACCTACTTTGTGAAATTGACGCATTGTCCACATACAGCTGTGCACAATGAGATGCAGTAATTTGCCCATGGTCACCACTGCTAATAAATGGCAAAACAACAACAAAATTTCACTGTTGAGAACTGGGAAGAAATTGTAATTTTTGTAATGTTACATTAGAACACAGCCCAAGTCAAGTACAAATTTGACAGCATGTACCTCAGTGATTGAGGTAAGAACTGACTCCATGAGGTGAGCCAGCCTGAGGTTACACATCAGAAGGGCCATTGTTTTGATTTTTATTGTGATTTGGATGAAAGATTACAGAGCAAATTCATTTTCCATATACCAGTTCATACACATTTTGTTTCATGACACTGATCGCAATCCCTGTCATTATAACAGGGCCATTAGTTTTTAAAGGCCAAGGGATTTTGATTTACAGATGTGTTTGTGAAATTCCCACACCTATTAGCAGATGGAGAGGGTTCTGTGAGTACCTGCACGGATAAACTCAATTGGATACAGGTAATAGAAATGTAAGAGAATGGAGTTCAGGAAAATAGGTTGAAAAAGGAGGGGATCTTAAAGTGATCTAATTATAGATTTTAAACGTGTACAAGGGAAATGGTTTCAACATTCACTCAGTGGGTACCGGGAAATGCTAAGATAGATAGTGGTAAAATTGTGACTGTTTGGTTGTCATTTATCATATCTGAGGACTTAAGACACCCATGGTTTTGGGAAATTGGACTTTTTTTCTGTTGTACTATTTATTGTACTCAGAAATTGAGAGACTTTTGACCTAAGTATGGTGGATACTTGAGAGCTCTGGTGGTATAGTGGTTAAAAGCATTCGGCCGCTAACCAAAAAGCTCGAGGTTTGAACCCACCAGCCACTCTGCGGCAGAAAGATAGGCAGTCTGCTTCTATAAAGATGTACAACCTTGGAAACCCTATGGGGCAGTTTAACTCTGTTCTATAGGGTTGCTATGAGTCAGAATCAACTCGATGGCAGTGAGTTTGGTTTTGCTTTTATGGTGGGTTAAGACTAACTGCAGGAAATTTGAAGTCCTTAATGGTAATAGCATTTTCAATGATTTGAACAAACATTTCTTTCGCAGCAGCTGCATACTCTTTGGAATTCATTTTAGGGGTAAGGGACCAGTGTCACTGCCCTTGCTGCTGCAGCTGCCTCTGTGAAGGGAGGAAGGACCCAGTCCTGCTTGGTTGTCTCCAGAGCTATTGGTTCCTACTCCATGTGGACCACTGATGATGCTTGATCAGTGTCCCACCTTTGGTTGAACCACAAAGCTCACATTGCTACATGCCCCTCTCTGCTTCCCCCTCTGCCACCCACACACACAAATACTCGGAACATTCTTATGACTGTTTCTCTGCAGTATCATAAGGAAACTGACAAGATAGTGACTGGATTAGTGGGTGCACCCATGTGCTTAGGGCACTGGTGAAAGTTGGCATTAGGTGTAGAATCTGGGAAAGTATGAGGTAAGCCTATCCTTGGGAACCCCTCCCTGGTCTGCCCTGAATAAGACCAGAAAAATACAGCATACTTTTCTAGGAGGGGTGGAGGGTGGATCTTAACATAGTAACCAGAAACTACCAGTGGGGGTTGCCTTAATGCTGTTGCTTTTGTCCACCTGGAGGTTGGCTTCTGCCCTGAGTATGTGCATCCTTGCCTGTCCATAACAGCCATAGAAGAGTATGGAAATAGCCAGGCCTTAGCACTTTGCTACCGGTAATTTTTCCCCTGATCCTCTTCGTGATAATCGTTTTCCTCTGACATGATGGTGTCCCAGTTGTGGAAGAGCCTATTTTCCCTTTTCACATGTACCAGCTTTGAGGCAAAGAGTATTCCCATAACCCAACCCACCCCCTACACCTAATGCATTTCCATGGGTTACTGTTAAGGGAGTGACCTTCCCACATTAGGTCCCAACGCCTACGTGGTGCTGTACACCAGGTTTCATGCTGAGGACCTGGCTGCCTCTGTTTTCCGCCTCCTACATAAGCATGTGTCGTGGATCCTACATCAGCACGTGCGCAGTCATCCGCCT